GGCCCCATTCCACTGAAAGCGCGGGGGGGGGCGGATTAAGATGGAACCCTGCTCCCTTTCCCGCGTGGAGGACCCTCCAGGTCTCTCTGGGTCACTCGCTGCGCCCTTCAGGCGCTCCTCCCCTCTTCGCTGGGATGTGTGGCGTCCCCATTGAGGAAGCACAAAGCCCACAAACACGGCGCGGTTGACAGCCCAGAACTGGGGATTAGGGGAGTTTATTCGGCCGCGGGGTGAATTTATGGACGTGCGCACGGAGGCCAGAGGTGCTGTTCCCGTTTGCTCTTTCAGTGGCCGACAGTCTTCCTTTTCTCTGGAAGCTGCAAGCGGTGGCGATGGTTAGGAGAGCAGGGCAGGCACGGAAGGACCCGTCTCTGGAAGAAAAGGCACGAGAGAAGGTGACCCTTCCTTCAAGGGCACATGGGGGGCATCCTCTGAAGAAGCGAGTTCTCCTGGTTACGGTCACACGATCGTGGTTAGGGTGACCCAGTGACCTCCAGAAGGGCCTGTCTTGAACCGCCCTCCACCAGTCCTGCAGAGGAAAGGCTCAGTTCCTTTTGGTGGGCCAGTCCATCCCATGTTTGGCCTTCATCCTCTCTTGCTGCCTTCTATTTTTCATGGCAATCGCCCCCCCCCACACACATCTTGTTGCCAGGTTAGCTCAGCTAACACCTAAAGCCTGCCCCCCACCCACAGGAGTCTGACAAAATTTCATAGACCTCCAAGAGAAAAATCAGAAACCTGTGTTCATCACAGGTGGCATTTATCCTAATGAAGTATTACCCTAGGGAAACCAAACAATCTTTGACAATCAGATTTACATTCATCTGAGTATCAAGGTACTATAGGTGCAACACCATGAGCCTCGGCCTGTTGGGATCTGCAAGATGAGGGGAAGTAGGGGTCTTGCAGATGAAGTCTCAGTGCAGGAATTTGTAGATGAAGCCTCCCCCTTGACCAGCAAGGGGAAAAAAGAAGAGACAGGACACTCGAGTGTAAGGCAGCTGTTCAGAGGGAACCTCTCGATCTCTCGCCTCCTCCTCTTTTATTGTTTTCCTACTACATTTGCTCTAGTTAATCAATACTATTTTAACCAGAGGCATTTAATTTCCTGAATACACAGCCAGAATCAACAGACAGGCTGGTAAACATTCCTGAATACAGAGCAGGGTAAACATAGACAGTTAGCACCTTAAGTACACAAGTAAGTTAGTACAATTTACCCAGAAACAGGAAATTCCTAAATACACAGGCAAGTTAATCACCTCAGAGACAGATAATTTTTGAATACACCAGCAAACAGGTTAACCATCCACCTTTGCCATACGTGACTTGTACGGTTCCCCACAATGGCTGCTGACACCACAGACACATATCTGACAAAAGCATATATTTTCCCACATCGGCCCATGCCTTGTCCTGCCTTTTCAAGTCCAGGAAAGCCATCTTATTGTCACGGGTGAAATTCTGTTTTAAAAGCTCTCCTTCACATGTTTGGTCTTACACACATGAGAAAGGGCCAGGTGTTTCAGAAAGCTTTGGGCTCCAGCTGAGCAGGTATCACATGGGGCAGCCCAAGCTTTGCTCTGGACTCGTGTTTCTAGTTCCTCCAGGTAAGTCACCATGTGTGGAAATGTGGCGATTTGGAACAGAAAAGGATTACCTGAAGAAGGCAGCCACTCAGTTACTGAGGGATCACAAGTTCTGGAGATGGAAGGAACCCGAAAGGTCATCCTTCAGCCAAAGTAGGAAATCTATGCCCCTGGAGCATCCCTGACAGGTGGCCATCTTGTCTCTGTTGAAAAATCTCCAGCAAGTCTTAGACCAAGATATGGGGCAGGAAAGGGCTGATGATTCTTCCTGTGGGAGCTGAGTTCTGCTCCAAACATGCCATGCCTGGAGTGTGTGTGTGTGTGTGTGTGTGTGTGTGTTTTCTAGCAATTATCAACCCACAGCAGCATGGGGGTTGTCATTGCACAGTGGACCATAATCCGGGGCTCCTCTTCTCTGCCTCCACCAGGGGAGAGTGGCAGAGTTGGAGCAAGAGATCTCAGAGGCCAAGGAGGAGATGTCGCGATACATGCGAGAGTACCAGGAGTTGCTGAATGTCAAGATGGCCTTGGATGTAGAGATTGCAGCATACAGGTGAGGCCAGAAACAAATGCTCAGCCAGGTGGTGCCAGGCTGTTTCGGCAGGGTGCTCGGGGAAGGTCCGTGCACATCACCAAACCCCACACACCCCACCCCCTGGTTCCACTTCACTTCAAAATGGGGTTGATCAAGTCCTGCTGCTGAGTTTGAGGCCCTCCTGCTCACCCTGCAAGTTGGGAAGCTAAACTTCCTCCCCCCTCCCCTCTGTAGATATTGTCTCAGGCTATGGCACGCTTAAGCGACTGAGCCCACCCCACCAGTGTTCCTCAGTCTTTGTGGCATGTGGCAAGGAGGTATATCTCCAATCCCCTTATGGGATGCAATGGCCAGAAAGCAACAGCTTTCTCCTTGCCAATGTCCCTTGAGGCCATCTCGCATGGCCATCTCTGGTCTTTGCAAGAAGAGGGGACTGGGAAGACCAAGGGGCCTTCGGCTCCACTGCCTGGCCCAGCATCCTAGGACAGGGCCACGGGCTCCCTCTCCTGGGCTCAAGGCTGCTTACGTCTGCTCCAGGCCCTCTACACTGAGGCAGCTGTATCTTGCTTTCTCCCAATGCCCTGGCCCCAAGAGGCTGGGAGGGAGGGGCAGCAGGGTAAGGGAGACCAGTACTTTGCCCAAGGCCTCTTCCATCTGGCAGCAGTATTCAGCCTCTGGGGAGGCTACAGCTTGCTATGAAGGTGGAGACTTTGTGGAGGTAGCAGGAGATCAATCTGGTATGGCAAAGAGGGCCAGCAGGCCAAGCTGATGGGCTGCACTTATGCCAGGTCCTCCCTCC